CAAAAAAAAAAAAAAAAAAAAGGATGAAGTACACCAGGAATGCAAGTTTCTGGGGATAAAAGAGAAGATTAAAAATAAAATGGTGGTGGACCAGACTTAATGTTTAACATTATTCTGAAAAGAGACATACTCATTTTAAGACAAGGAGATGAGGACTGTCTGCTCTGAACTTGTAAGGAGCAGTGCATCTCATAATAATTGGACATATGTTTCTCATCTTCAAAGAACTTATGCATCCATTTTAATGCATTAGAGTTCATGGGTACTATCTGTCCACAAGTGAGCCTTCTCCTCCCTCTTCCCACCATACATTCTTTGAAGGGTTTTGAGTTCAATGGGAGGAAAAAAAAAGTCCTCCAAAACTCACTAATGTTTCCTGAATTTCCATTAAGCTAGCTTTAGAAGGAGTTTTAAAGAATGTGCTAAATGAAACTTTATGCGCAAGAATCCTTAATATTCCATTACTTTTTGATAACAAGTTATTTTTTATGTTTTCCTTCATCTGGGTGTAGAAATGAAGTCTCAGCAATAAGAATTATTACGTGCTTAGCCCAAGATGCAAATTTGTCTTGACCTGGAATAGATTAGAAAGAGGATCATGCAGAAAAGGGCAGCCTAGCAAATCATAGCACACCTCCTTAAAGACTCCAAGCACTTGGAGGACTCAGTATAGCAAGAAGGAAGGGCAAATTCTTTGGACACAAGTCTTATTGCTCCTTTCCTGTTGGTTACAAAAAAAATGCCTAGAGAATGCAAACAATTCTCAAGGTACTGGGTCTGATTCTTTTTTTTTTTTTCACAGCCATTTTCAGTCTGCTTGGAAACATCTGTTTTTAATTGAATATGGATTTGAAGACTAATTTCAGTAAGATGGGGTTCAGGCTCCAATCAAGTTAGAACTGAGAGATTATTGCTTATACACATATCCCAAAATTCAGGGAGGCTTGAGGCCAAGGATACCACACTTCCTGAAAGCATGCACGAGACACATGCACTTGAAAATGAAAAAGGAATGCCTAATTCTCTCAAGGAAATTTCTTTAAGGCCAATGATTTTGGGTTTTAGGTTACAGCTTGTAGACGCAGGACTTGATTTTGGAAAAGGTCGGTTAGAGGACACTACCCTCCCATGCATTCCATATATGGAGCAAGAGATTAAGGATTCACATGATCAAGGCCAAAATAAAAACAGTATTTTGGGCTGTTCATTGAGAATCATAAATCTACCCCATTCGCAAAGTTTGAAAGCAAGGGAAACATGCTATCATCTAACCACAATTCCTCTGCTGGTCTCTGAAAGACATGAAGCCGTTTGCTTACCGTTAACCCTCTAAACTAGAAAGATAAAGAAAGGAGAATTACTCAAGATTCCCCTTGCATGGATTTTGGGACTACCCTGCTGAGCACTGGGGCTCAGGAGTCTACCTGACCTTTTCACCGACTCAGTGTATTTCAAATCTTCTGCCTCAAAGTATCTAATTTTAAATGAAATTCTTATTTTTTTGCTTCACAAAAATATTTTTGTACTCATTAGTGATCTTCTGCAAAGTACTAAAATTTTAGAGCTGCTAAAGTATAAGAGGCTATCTTGATTTTCTTTAATGGCTTGGTCAAAAAAATTCATGCCAGGAATTCTTAAGTGATTATTTGATATGTGGTTCAACAATCTATAAAATGATTCTTGGATTCTTCACATTGCAATTCGTCTGACAGCTGAGCCAACTTTATCAAGATAATCAATAACAAACAGCCTATATGTTTTAAATCAAAGTACCAATGACTAAAAGAACACAGAAATATAATTCTTAAATCTGACCACGTAATTATTTTGAATTTCAGTAAATACAGATATTGAGAACAAGCACCTTCATATTTGTTTCCTATACTCAAAAAATGTAAGTTTAAACAGCATTGCCAATTTTCATTAAATTCATTAGCCAATTATTCCAAGTATTTTCTTTTCTGTAAACTATGAATTCGTAAGACTCACCTTTATTGACAAAAGATAGACTATGAGCTGTGATTTATTTATTTAAAATGTTCTCTGTTGAGGTTTTCAGAGGGAGCATGGGTCTTTTTTCTTAATACCTGCTGTTATAATCACCAGAATTTAGTATCTATTGTTTATTTAAATGCTTAATTCTCTCTCAGTTTTCTATTTGGTGAACCAGAAGTAACCAAGGAATGGACTTTTCTGCTAAAATGCTAATAACCCAGGAAGCTTTGGAAAAGAGAGCTTTTCTTATGTTCCAAATATAATAATGAAGTATTTATAGCATTAGCTATTCTATTTCTTAGAGATGACAATATGTAATAAATGCACTTTTATTCTTGAATGGCATACTGACGGCAAAGGTACAAAAAGTTGAGAAATAAGACATCAAAACTTTCAATAAGCCAAGGAAAATGATGTGCAAAGTAAGCATTCCTGTGACACTTGGCATCTCATGCCTTTATAACCACAGTAAGTCTATATGCATTTCCTGGTCGTGGCCAACACAAATGGCAGAAAGAATGTCCCTTTGGTAGATCTTCTTTGGAACTAACAAGAAAACAAGGAAGACATTAATTAACAATTTTTATGCCCGTTTACTATATAACACATCATCATAAGCCACCAAAATTTTACTTTGTATTTCATTAGAATAAATTATATCTTCTGATTATAAAAATTATACACAATCCTTGTAGAAATGTTGGAAAATGTAGAAAACAGGAAGACTTCTTTGTCTTTTTTGTACAAACTATCTGATTATACATACAATGTTCATAATATTTTATCATGTCAGGCCGGGGATTTAGCTCAGCGGTTTGGTGGCCTGCCTTGCAAGCGCAAGGCCCTGAGTTCAATCCCCGGTACCAAAAACAAACAAACAAACAAATATTTTATCATGCCCTTTTCTCCATTATTATACATTGTGAGAATTTTCATATCATTACAGATTCTTTACCAGCTTTTTCTTTGTAGTGCTGGGGATCAAACCCAGGCCCTCATCGCTGGTAAACAACCACTGTACCATTGACCTGCACCCTAATCCCTCTGTGTAAGAATTTTAAAATTGTCCCAACATATTCCACTTACTAAGCATTTAAGTATCGCTTAAATTTTTAAAATTTAAGCATTGTGAAAAATTTCTCAATGCATATATCTTTTCTCATTTTTATAGTATTTCCTTAAAATAAGTATCAAGGTGAAAAACTTCATACTTTGGAGGTTCTTTTCTTGTTTTTTCTTTTTTTCCAGTACTGGGGAATCAAACTTAGCACTCTGTGCTTGCCAGGCAGACGTGGCAACGCTGAACTACATCCCCAGCCTGGAGAGTCTTGATATAAACAGCCCAAATGTCTTCCACAAAGGCTGTGGCAACTTACACATCTACTCAGCAATGAATGTAGATACAAATCCCGTCTTTAGCCACTTTGATTCCTATAGTTTTTTACATTTGCTAATTTGATAGGCCAAAAGGCTCTGTTTTCTTTTACATTTATTCAGTTCCCAGAGAAGTCATTTTTCATGGCATGTTCATCATTTCTATTTCTTCTGTTTAACTTATCTGTTTTTTTTTAAAGTTCTATTGAGCTGTTTTTCTTCTTGGTTTTTAGAAATTATTATGAACATTCTATTACTCCTTGTATGTATTTCCTAATTTGTTGTTTATATTTATTTTATATACAAATATATCAAATCTTTATAATTAATTTTATATATGACTTCCTTTTCATTCATTCGCTTTAATATCAGGAAGTGCTAAGATTTAAATGCTTAAATTTTTTTCTACCTGTGATATTGGTGACAGTCCCTTTTAAGTACCACTTAGCATCTATCACCTCACTCCCGAATTGGATTGGAAGTTAATAAATGCTAACTATTATGCAGCTGCCTCATGGGTTCATTTTGAAGGCAATTCTGAGGGAAGGACCGTAATAATCTCCTATTAAAAAGTATTGTTTCCATGAAGCTTTTCTATTCAGAACATTTGATGTGCGTCCTTATTGTTCATTGCTGGTTTACTTATTCCTCTTGGCTTTTCTCCCTTGCCTTTTGAAATACTTCACTTCAAAATATTGACGAGTATGTAAAAATATTTGGACCAGATGGCCATCCAAGTGTATTAATTATGGAAAAATATGATTTTCCTCTCATTAAGTATTTAAAAATTCTTAGGTCCTTAGTTTCCAGGACCCCTAGCAAATAAAACAGTGAACAAATATTCAACTGGGAATTCAAATAAGCCATGGATAGTTGAAAAAATTAGAAAAATAAATTACACATGTACATTTTGGGTCTTTTCTAGGTTCTACAATAAAATGTATCAACCAAAGAGCACAATAGTGATTCTTTCACAAGTTGAAATAAACACAATACCCCTGCCAAGTGCTTTTTATAATTTATTGTGATTTCATTATATTGTTGTTAATATGCAAACCCAGAACAACAACTGTAGGCCACAGTTCTATCTGATCGGAAGTTGGATACCTAAAGTGAAAGACTCTTAAACAACAACAAAGTGTCTGAGCAAGGATCTATTCAGCACTGTGACTTTCAAAGTGTTGGTCTCAAAAGCACTACTCAGAATCTAAGGCATCTTCCACAAGGTAGACTCAGGGTGATAAGAAGCACTTTGGATTGATCGCATCATACAGAGCAAGTAATGTACTTACATTTCTATATAGTTGAGGGAATTGAGTTCTCAAGTAGAATATGTAAATAAATCCTGACATCACAGTTGTACTAAGT